TTCTGGGAGTTGAAGTCCACACCTCTTAAAGTTGATAAGGTTGAGAAACCCTGGCCTAGATCATCCCAATCCTCTCAAATGCCCACTTAGTGCTGGGGATGATGGACACTAAAACTCCAATCCCTGGAGGGCAACAGGTTGGAGAAGTCCGTCCCAGGCTGCTGTGTGTTCCTGTTCGTCCTTGGCAATGGTCTTATCGCCACTCTACAGGCAGCCTAAAATGTCTCTGTTCCAATGATATTTCAGTCTTGCCGCATCAACCTTTGGCACGGGATGAACGGTCTGCTTGACAAATGGCCAGGTGGCGTTTTTAAATGGCACCTCCGTTGCATTTTGCTTCTCTAGCACATCCTTCTTGCCAACCCCTGGCTCCTGTCAGCCTACCTCTACAGAAAAGCTGCTGGAACCATTCAGGAAACAGTTTTTTTTTTTTGGAAAGGCTCAGGATAAGCACCAAGGTGGCTTTGCCGATCAGGGAAATGTATACGGGCGAGTTCTTAAAATAGCAGGGCTGCGGCACCAAGGACTAGAAACTTGCCTTTTCTAGAAAAAGACAGAGAGATATGTAGGAAACCTTTGTTATCTATAGATCGCGTCTCAAATCCTCGTGCAAAACTCAGTATGCCTGGCACCACACAAATCCAGTCTGGCCTATAATGTACCACTAGGCTGTCTTGAGATTTAATTTGGCCCAGGTGGGTTGGGGAACCGGTGTCCTTCCCACTGTGGGGGGGGGGGAACTACAATTATGCTACAATGGCCATACCAGCTGGGGCTACTGCCACATCAGCCCACATCTGGAAGGACACAGGCTCCCCGTGAATGCCCCATGCAGACTTCCTGTTTCTAGCCTACCCTGTAGCACGGATATCCCCTTGTAGACAAACCTTCCTAGTTGGCCCGAGATCCTCTATATTTTGGAAATGGGTCTGCCCTGGTCTTGATTGGGCAGCCTCCCCCCTATTAACCTGGTTCAGAATGCCAAAGGCTCCCTTGGTGGAGGGGAGTGGCAGATCTTCCCCCAGGGCACTTCTGGATATTGAGATGAGGGACTCAGATGTCAGGCTGATCTGTGTGACTCAGACCACTGGTCCAACTGGTGCCTTTGATGATGGAAAGCATCTTCCAAGGGAACCACGTTGTTCTTAAGTCTCTTTGGACTGGAGATGCCAGAAACTGAATAGGGGGCCTCGCCTACAGACCTGACCATGCAACCCCAGCTCCCAACATGGTTCAGGTGGTGACTTTGAGATGGAGGAGACAGCAAAAAGGAACCAAGAGAATGAAAGACGCTTTTGCTTCCTGGTGGAAAAGGCTTCCTGAGCAGCCAGGACTGGTGAATGGGGCAGAGGGCTGATGATCTTTCGCCTCTGGATCAAAGCAGCCTCTCTTGACTACAGAGGGGCACATCAAGGCATGCTGGCTGTAATCCTGCCAAGCGGGCTTCTCCAACAGGGTGGCCTCTGGATGGGCAAGACTTCAACTCACAGAGCTCCAGGGTCAGGTTGAGAAAGGAAAAGGGAACGCTAGAGAACGCCAAGCAACAGCTGGAGATGCTCTCCAACGCAGATGGGACTAACCCAATTTTGTCCAGAACGCCTGCACAGACCAGTCCTGATTGCTAGTTTGCTGAATTCTACCCTTGTGGGTAGGTGTTTGCCGGTTGCCGAAACCAATTTCCCCAAGACAGGATCACTCAAGGAATTCCCTGGAAGGGCCTCAACCCCAATGGGACCTGGCAGATAACCACCTGCCATCTCCACCTTATTATCCCCAGATGTGTTCTCATCCCTAGACAACTTCATGAACTCCGCGCAGCCCTGCCACATACCCGGCAATTGCCTGGTGAAAATCCAAGCCTTGTCCAACCCAATGCTCTTTGGGTCTGGGGCTACAATTCCCACAGTTCCTGGACATCCACGAAGCACCAGCTTGGGAAAGATTCCCCTTTTAGACCCACAGACCAACCCGTAAGCTTCTGAAACCAACACATGAAGTTCCTACTCAAGATGCAGCTAGTTGTGAAGTCCCAGGGATCTGATTCCTCTTTACACCACCGATCTTACTCAAGTCAAGGCAGGTGCCCTAACTTGCAAGAAACTGGAAAGGAAAGCAAGCTGTCACCATCTTTCTCAGCATCCATGGTTCGAGAACAGCTAAAGGTCTTTGGCGAAGGGAACAGTAGGCTTAGCCCCTTCGAGCGGCGCTTGGAGCATGCAGACGGCAATAAAGAGAGAGAGAAAATGGATGGCCACACAGGATTTAACCTAAGGTTAAGAAAGCCTTTTGAAACACTGACTGGGATCACAGTGGCCAGCATCAGTTTAAAGACAATTCGGGACATGTAAGCCTTGTCCCGCCTACCACTGCCTCTTGTTCCAGCTATTCTTGCACCGGTTCCTAAGCTGAATCTCCACCCTGAACTCTCTCCGCCAAACTAAGGGTGTTTTTTTGTTGTTCCCCCCCTTCTTGACTCCAGAGAAACCAAAGTGCTCTCTTTGGCTTGACCTTTGGCCTCCTCCTCCTCCTCGTTTTAGGTGCCTTGAAAATTTTCAAACGTTTCAAAAATGAATGTCTCGCAAATTCTCTTAGTCCTTTTTTTCCTCCCCTCCGTTTTTCATAGAAAAACAAACAAAAAAAAGTACAAGTTTAAAAAATTAATTATTAAAAATAAACAAAGAAACAAACGAAAAAAGCAAACGGCTGTTTCTTGCTCTTTTCTTGGACTAAAATAGAAAAAGATTTAATTCTGACAGCCAGTTTCATGAGATGAGTAGGTGCAAATGTAGGTGGTCCTTTGGTGAGAATTGCAACCATCCAAATGTTGCTGGATTGACCCCTCATTATTTTGGACAAGGTTCACATCAAAACAGCCCATCCTCTGCCATGCTACATCAAACTTTGTTCTATAAGCCATAATTGACTGGGATGACACAATACACTGAGCCATAAACTTGAATTTGTAAATCACAGTGCTTTGGTTCATACATTTTAAACCATGGTTTACTTAACCATGAATGACTAAAAGACAGTTGACTGGATTCACACAACATGCTGCGCCATGAATGTTAGTTTACAAACCACAATGCCTGGGTTCATAACCACTTTAAGCCATGCTATTTAACCAGGGTTTTCCGAGTATGCCACAAGTAGGTGGTTTCACACAATATGCTAAATTAGGCTGGGCAACCCTTCTGGATATCTTCAAAAGTACTGAACTATTGCTTTAATCGTTCCTAACCAGCATGGCGTAATGATTGCTCTTTGTTGTAACCCCCATTAATATAAAATTATAGAACCATGCAGAGAGAAGTCTAGCTCCTCAGCAAGAAAAAAATTCTGCCCTGGTCCTTTTTCACATCTCCTTAAACTCCAATGTCCTCTTGCAATTTGGGCTGAGTCCTCCTTTTAAGGGAGATGGGCAGTGGACCTCAGCTGAATTTTTTTAAAAATCACGAGAGAGGCAAGATTCGAACCAGGACCTCCTGCTCTCGTGCCCCATCTTGTCCCGGACGAGACAAAACTCGCCTTCTCCCTGGCTAGTCAAGCCTGCCTCCTGGCCTATAATATTCCCCAGGGGAAATTATTTTCTGTCACTTGTAATAGTGGTTTCTGCTAAATTTAACATAAAACGGGAGCTCATTACTTCTGCATTAGACAGGCTCCGGCGTTTGCCCACAGGTTAATGGATTTCTCCTGGGGATGGAAGTGCCATTTTTCAGCTGGCAGAGACGACAAGCAGGGCAAAGGGTGAAACCAGGCCTGGGGAGATGGAGGCGGGGGGGACTCCAAGGTCTCAGCCCACATGGCCGGTTGGAATTCAGGCACAAACCAGCAAGACCACAACAGGGAAGCAAAAATCATCCACATCGCCTTGAGCATCTTAAGGCGGTTTTTATTTTTAAAAAAAAATCCACACTCTAAGTGTGTCCACCAAGCCATCTGTGGCTGGCGTTTGTCAGCCGGGCTGCAGAAGATGGATGACAAGAACAAAGCCCCGAAACCGTGATCCAGGAACGTCTCTTTGAGATCCCCGGCCAATTTCTGAAACTGTCCATTTCAACCTGGTGCTGGAGCCAGAAGCAGAGATGGCGGCTCCTGGGGCAGGGTGGGACGGGAGGGTGGGAGCAGGTGACCAGCTTCAGACCGTGTATTTTCAAGCCCCCTTGCTTGGCTCCTGTTTACTTCAGTGAGATTGGCGTGGGCAAGCTGCCCTCCGCTAATGCCCTTCTATACCTCTTCTTCTACCACCCCATTATAAAATGGTGGATGGAAAACATGACGACAACGCCCTACGCTAAAACAGTACAAAAATATTAAATGGGAAGGATGCAGAAAGAAAAGGAAAAGGTACAACATTTCACACACAAAAGGCCTGGGTGAAAAGCTGGTCCTAAAACACACAGCTACCTCCCAAATTTCTGGGA